ACGGGAAGTAGTTACTGATTTTCTTCTTGCAATCGATGGTGAAATATTGTGGGTAGGGAAGCTCGGTGAAAACTGGAGTAGAAGAGATTCTACGTGTTCTTAAAAAGAACATTGATGATTCTATCCTTGTCTCTATCGTCGTGATGTGAATAATAATGGGATAGATCATTTGTATTAGTTAATTTGCAGTAGACTCTTCCATTGGGGTCCTTGTTTCCCAGTGGAAATAAGTCACTTTGGCTTTTTTTTAGGGGGGGGGGAGAGGTTATCCGAGGTAACTTACACATGTTACTATGTATGATAATTATACTTATTTGTAGATGAATGGTTCAGAGAACCGACATGTTGATAAATTAGAGTTGCACATGTGTCTAATTTATCAATTATACTTATGTTCACCTGTACTTAAATTTACGTCTGAGAAGAGCACTTGATAGGAGGTTCCACCGAGATGATATCGTTGAGAAACTCTGGGCGTCAATAAAATTCCTGATGGAAGAAACGTTTCCACAATAAGATGCCATAACCCCCATTGTTGTTAGGTAAGACACATATGCAACAGTTAGGTATCTTTATTATGAAACGTTTCGCCTACACAGTAGGCTTCTTCAGTCAAGTACAGACAAGTTGATAGAAGCAGAAGATACTTGAAAACGATGTAATCAGTCCATCACCCTTAAAGTTTTGAGGTGGTCAGTCCCTCAGTCTGGAGAAGAGCATTGTTCCATAGTATGAAACAATATATGAAGACGATGTAATCAGTCCATCACCCTTAAAGTTTTGAGGTGGTCAGTCCCTCAGTCTGGAGAAGAGCATTGTTCCATAGTATGAAACAATATATTGTTTCATATTATGGAACAATGCTCTTCTCCAGACTGAGGGACTGACCACCTCAAAACTTTAAGGGTGATGGACTGATTACATCGTCTTCAAGTATCTTCTGCTTCTATCAACTTTTCTGTACTTGACTGAAGAAGCCTACTGTGTAGGCGAAACGTTTCATAATAAAGATACCTAACTGTTGCATATGTGTCTTACCTAACAACCTGTCGGTATTTTATACCATTTTAATGTTCAACCCCCATTGTGTCCTCTGGTGGGTAAAGGGGTTCATCTTTAATGGTTCCTAGCGTTACACATGTATCTTATGTGGAAATAAATGGTATAAAATACCGACACAATGGAAATATAAACACATATGCAGTATAATGTGATCCTTTATTGACTACGTTTCGCCCACACAGTGGGCTTTTTCAAGTCACAAACAGAACTACCTGGGGTGGAAGGAACGCGAGTATTTATAGTCCAGTTCAGAATGCTGAGGTCAGGTGGAGAATGCTGCATCTGATGATGTACCGAGTGGGGTTATAGAGTCTAAAAATTTGGGTAGCTTGGAAAGGAGATTGGATAAGTTTGTGTTCTTATGTGGGATAGCGATGAAGAAGTTTCTTGGCAAGTGGTTCAGCTATGTTATAGCTATGTTTAGACTCTATAACCCCACTTGGTACATCATCAGATGCAGCATTCTCCACCTGACCTCAGCATTCTGAACTGGACTAAAAATACTCGCGTTCCTTCCACCCCAGGTAGTTCTGTTTGTTGATAAATTAGACACATGTGCAACTCTTGGGTATCTTTATTGAGGAAACGTTTCGCCACACAGTGGCTTCATCAGTCCATACAAAGGAGAATCTTGAAGAACAGGAGGAGAATGAGGTAATCAGTCCCTCAACCTTGAGTCGATGTGGTCAGTCCATCAATCTTGAATAGAATACGGCATACGTGCTGAGAAGGAGCTTATAAACCGTTGGCAGGAGAGGTGCAGCAGTCATAGGTCGTGTAACATTTGTTCAATGTTGAAGTAGGTCGTGCCCAAGAATTAGGCAAGCGAAGAATTCCCAAGTATTAAGATCCCAAGAAGTTGCAGTGTCTGACAGGTTTGTAGATGAATGGTTCAGAGAACCGACATGTTGATAAATTAGACACATGTGCAACTCTTGGGTATCTTTATTGAGGAAACGTTTCGCCACACATTAACTGCATCTGTGTCTTTTTATCTAACACTTTAGTAGGTATACCTGAAGGGAGACCTTTAAGAAGATGCCTGGATTTTTTTGTTCTTTTTTTTTCCTTCCTCAAACTTTTCGATTTTATTTCGCCTGTAACTCGAGAACGCCTCGTCCAATCGGTGTCAAACTACGGAACAAATTCTTGACATAACTGGCATGTTCACGTACCCTGTGACCAAAGTTACTGAACCCATTCCCAGCATCCTGGGATGCTTCCAAAGTTCAGAAAAGGTGCCTCAAAATTCGACGACTGGGGAGAGCGAAATTGAATGTGTAGGTGCAGATCTAACCTTTCATGTGTAAAATAGACTGAAATTTTGATTCCCGTTAAATAAATTTCAGTTTACCTATTCTGAACGGGTTCAGTATTTAATAGATGATACGCCTTAGGGGTCATGATTGTGCCCATGAAGTTTTTTTTTGCGCGAAGGCAAATTTGTTGCTGTAGTAAAATGGGTAAATAAAACTTGGAATCGTTGGAATATGTGCTATAACTTGAGCATAACTCTGGGGTTATAGAATGTAAGTATACTACTTTCTTGAATCGCGGAACGAACGAAATATATCTATTTTTTCCGTTGGAATTACTTTCGAGGGTCATTAAGACCACAATTCACCTGTACACTAATATTAAGAATACTTTAATCCTTAAAACAGGAATTAAGGTAAACTCTCAGCTTGTATGTATGTTATTATTATATATATATATATATATATATATATATATATATATATATATATATATATATATATATATATATATATAATATATATTCTCCATGGGGAAATGGAACAAAATTCTTCCTCCGTAAGCCATGCGTGTTGTAAGAGGCTACTAAAATGCCGGGAGCAAGGGGCTAGTAACCCCTTCTGTACAAATTACTAAATTTAAAAAGAAAAACTTTCATTTTTCTTTTTGGGCCACCCTGCCTTGGTGGGATACGGCCGGTTTGTTGAAAGAAGAAACAATATATATATATATATATATATATATATATATATATATATATATATATATATATATATATATATATATATATATACTGAGAGATACACCTCCAAGTGTGTATTATATACTGACAGATACTCACTTTACTTTATTTATAGAGTTACAAACCTCTGGGTGAATATGCACCTAGAAAATATATCTCTAGGAGCATCTACTGTACGCCGAGATGACACCTCAAGGTGTAAATACATCGAAAGATACACACCTTTAGGTGCATATAGACCGAGATAGACACCTTGACCTTTACATACACTGAGACATATCGCTAAGCATATATATACCAAGAGATAAACACCTCATGGTGCATATTGTATACTTTGCGGTCAATATGGAGTTAGGTCCTGGTCAGAACTCGCCCGTTATATTATTACATAAAGTACATGTTATATATACCACGGCAACAGTTGTTTATTTTTCGTGTATATTGTTATTTGGGAGATATCAGCAGAAATCTATATTTATCTTGGCACGAGCAACACCTCAGAGCCAATCAACGATTAGTATTGAGTCGTGTAACTAGCCAGACCTATCACAGCAGCGTAAACAAAGAAACGTTGAGTGTAAATATGCGTCAATCCCATAATTACCGCTGGTAGAGCAAGATTAAGTTAATTTGGGTTGGGTTTCCTTGGGTTAGTTGTCTTTTTTTCTTTTTACCAGATCCACAAAACTCGCCCAATATTTGACATTTTAATGAGTAAATTTTCAATAAACTCAGACCGGGTCCCACAGGGGTTATACAGTGCCTCGAGGAGTAGAAAGCATTCAGACTTATTTCAAGGAATTGGAGCATTGGTCCAGCTCCTTAAATCAAGAGTCCCTCACTAACATCAAGAAACCTTTGAGGGGAGACCAGGTCCTGAAGTAAACACTGACCCACTTTGCCAATCTGAAAGAATACCTACCGTTTTTGATACCTTTTTGTTATGATGGATGTGTACATCGATTTTTCAGTTTATCCAGGTGAAGTATCAGGAATTTTCCTGTGTATTAGTTAATTAATGAGGGAAGTGTAAACCAAACAATAACCAAATTTCTGTAAACTCAGCATTGTAATCCTTATAGAGAATAAACTTTGAATTGAATTGAATTGAATTGAATTGAATTGAATTGAATTGATGCTGGTGAATTTTCTCCTTATCCGAGAGCTTGATGCCATTCTCATTTTCCCCGTATTAAACCTTATTATCTCCCATTCTATAGCATTAAAGCTTTCCGATGAAAATAAAATTAGTAAATTATGTTCTATTGGTGTTCAAATATTACATACATATTATCATATTTATAAATATGCGCTTAACCAGTATGCATCATAGCACAAATATTATACAGAAAGCCTTTTTAACGTGATATTGTTGCCTACCATCCAAGTTACCATTTTTCTGAGAACTCATCAATGGTAATCATTCATTATTTATGCAACACGTATGCGAACCGAGTACAGAGCCAGAATATTAAATCAAGTTGAACAACTTGTTGAGGTGAGTGGGAGGTGCGGGCAAGAGAGGTTAAGATGAAGTCAAAGGATCTTATCAACAAGTGGTCGACTCATATGATAGAAAGTGATTGAATCAATACCATCACACACCTGTATCAGTCTCATGCATGCAAATGCATGTGAGTCCTCCCACAATATTTACTAATCCTACTTTCATAAACGTGTCAGTTTTGGACAATCTTGGTAGTTTATGGGACATTTATCTAAAGTTTGAGCACCCAATGATGAATATATTATTGCTATGTAGAGGCAAGGAAGAAGAACAACAAGTAAAAGCTGTTTGTCAATTATCCATGTATAAACGCATCCAAAATTTAGCTCCTGAAGTTACTGAAAGATTTAGCAATCTACTAGAATTATCGAATTGCTTAAAATATAATATATAGCAAACTAGAGAAGATATAATACAGAATACGATGCTCGGCTGTTTGCCTCCTCCTCCACAACACATCAGGTTCAGTCATTTATGCTGTCTGACTGAGGTGCGGCCATGTTTTGATTGCTGAGATGGGGAGTTTGACAAATATAAGATAAAATGCCAAGTTGTAAGCCCAAGACACGTTTTATACCAGCCACGTGTGCTTGGACGCTACTTCTAGCATGTACTACACTATTTTTCGTCTTTCCGTAAGTATTTATAAACTAAAATGCGTTGTAAATAAACAAAATCTGATCTGTGGATGTTGAACCGAGGTAAACAGGCGGTTTGTTATCGGTTTAATTTGCAGCAGTGCTCCTCTTTACCGGGAAATTAGGCGCTTAGAGTCTTTGAGTAAGCAAGATACATAGCTTACCTTGGATTTGGCCAAGTCTTTCAGTTTCAAATATGAGAAAATGTGAGTGTGGGCCAGATAACTTGTCAAGAGCTTGAGAAGCCATACATATCAACACCATGATCCAGGTCTTCACTTGGACTGACTCTCTTAAATATCATTTGCTAAAGTATGATTAGTATTGTTGATGACGTTAAATGAATGTCTTCTTTTCAATATTCATTGATAATGTGTTGATTCTTAACATAAGATGGCTCTGTAAGGCACATTTCACTGCCATAGAATGCTAAATTTAGCAGTACTGTTGTGTCTTGAGTAATTGGGCCGTGGTGGTGGTTTATTCACCAATGTCTTCCGATAAGAATTGTTAGCATTTTTAACCCACAGGGTTAGCCACCCACGATAACCTAAGAAAGTCAGTGCATCATCAGGGACTGTATGCCTTAATTCCATTGGGGTCCTTTTAGTTTTATCCCCTGGGATGTGACTCACACCAGTTGACTAATTCCCAGGTACCTACTTTCTGCTAGGTGAACAGGGACAGCAGTTGTAAGGAAATATGCCCAATGTTTCCACCCATGTCAAGGATTGAACCACAGACACTCAGTGTGTGGGGTAAGAGCATTGCCAACTGAGCCACTGGACACCATACGGGTCTTAACGTGATGACCATTCAGTGGTTAAGGATCTGTTGACATACCGAAGATGAGTTTTACACCCCATTTGAAAGGAAGAGAATTGCTATATAGTAATGAGTCCTAAGATGAGATGTTGATACCTTTAGGAATAATCTGTTAGCTGCCAAGCAGTCCTGGTTATTATCTTCCCCATTAAGCAGCATTTTGATAAATAAAGATACTATGTATACTAAGCATAATTATAAAACCCTCGATTTAAAGGACATAATAGTGGAAACGGATGGCTTGTAATGGTAATTGTGATATGTAGAGATGGTTTTGCAGTGATCATAAAAAATAACAGACAATTCTGTAACCAGTTGATTTCTGTTGATTGTTTCCAAATCAGTTGACCCATCTGATTTTGTCCAGTAGTTAGTCTTATAGTGAGGGTTTATTTAATAATGCATAAGGATTATATACTTACCTTTCATAAGATAGGACAAAGATCAGCAATCCTCTCTGAGTGCAAAAAAATTTAACAGGTTTCCTAAAGACAATTTCTCAAAGCTTAGGTCAGAAATATCTGGCGAAGCCACTGACTTTTTAAATCACCGATATCAGGCAGCAGGTTTGATGACTTGATAATACACAAATAAGTTTATCTACTTTTGGTTACACATGTTTTAGGTGATTACAATTGATTTACATAGTAAAGTGTGTAAATTACCTAGGATAGCGGAAACAAGTCAGAGTGACATATTTTTCTTGGGGTTATCTAGCATCATCATTTAGGTTTATTTGAGGTTAAGTTAGTCTTTAATGATAATTTTACTGAATTTGTATGAAAAACTCGTCGCTAGTAGGAAAATATCAGAGACTTGAAGCTTGGGTTGTAAATGCTGCAGCGAGGAGACAGTTGGAGGCAGTGGAGATGTCCTGTTTAAGGGCAATGTGTGGTGTAAATATTATGCAGAAAATTTGGAGTGTGGAAATTAGGAGACGTAATCGGTGACGGGAATGGCGGTGAGATCAGTGGCATTCACTGAGGTGAGATTAGGCTTATAAAGATTTTTTCCTATGTAATTTGATTCAAGCTTGCTTTTTTTTTTCTTTTTTTTTACTACGACTTCTCTGTTGAGTTGTGCCTAGTGGTCAAATTTTATTTGTGTAAAGTAAAATGACACAATTGCAACTAATGTGACATTTTATTGTGGCAACGTTTCGCTCTCCAGGAGCTTTGTCAAGCCGATGCAAACAGTATATGGACACAGAGGGTATATACTACACAAAGCACATTACAGAGAGTGAACACTGAAACAGGCCTCTATCCAGTCTATATTTGTCCAACCTATTTTTATGTTACCCAAGTAATAGCTTTTATATCCTTTTACTCATGTATGAATTAATTGCTCTACCATATTGTATTACTACTACAACTTTTGTCACTACTACTACTACCACTAGTGAACATCGAAATGGTACCTCACTAGTATTGCACCTCACTTTGAGCCTTTATATACCCTCTGTGTCCATATACTGTTTGCATCGGCTTGACAAAGCTCCTGGAGAGCGAAACGTTGCCACAATAAAATGTCACATTAGTTGCACTTGTGTCCTTTTACTTTACACATTGTCGGTAATTCTACCAACATTATTAAAAATTTTATTTACATTTATTTTAAACTTGCCCTTATTTGAGGTTGAAAATTTTGCTTGGATTATTAGCCTTGACATGTCAACAGCCTAATACAGTATAACCCAAGAGTCACTGTACCTTTTTTTTTTTGCTAGGCTCCTAAGTTCCTTTCTCTTGGAAGCATCAGGCAACAATTGGAGTAACTCTACAGTATCCAGTTCCTGTTATGTGAACAGGGATAGCAAGTGTTAAAAGATGCCCATACATCTTGCACTGCTCAGGATTGGTCCTGGGTCCTTTAGTTATGAGCCAAATGCACTACCACTGGACTGCGAGGTTGTAAAGGGTTGCTTTTAAGTGTTATTAAAGAGCACTGCATTAAGCTTATGCTCGGTAGATGCTACTTGCATCATATCTACCATTATTTCTGTCTGAAGGCATATTCATTGTGCATTTATATCAAGGATGCACAAAAGTCCAGTATCATTCATTATCACATTTACACTAGCTATGTTTCTACAATTTTTGAACAGGATGGTGTTTGGTAATAGTAATGTGTTTAGATGAGAAAGTTGCGTAGATATGATCCTGATGGAGGCACACACATTGCATCAGCTGACTGCACAAATACATCACATTCTAAAGATTCCCCACACCTTGTTATGTAAAGCAAAGTAGTGTTTACATGGCTGTCAAATAAAGTGAAGGAAGTTGTATATGTAAATCTCTTTCCAGCACTGCATAGTGGTCATATTTTGAGAGGAGGTGGGGCATGCAAACTTTTATTTTGCTTAGGCCAAGGAGTTTGGTGTGGCTGACATTTCTTCACTTTCTCCTCCACTAAACATGACATTATTGGGCCCTCATGCATAGATTATGCGAAATAAAAGTTGTACAGGCAGTTCAGATTTATATTGAATAGTTAGATATAGAAATCTACTGTTTCATAATAATAGTTGGTAGATGTCTCCTCATCTCCCTAACACATCTTCCCACACTATTTTTCTTACACTACAGTATTACTCTATTTTTCTTTGTCATTTCTTTTCATATACATTCATCTCTAGTTAAGATGTGGAGGGTTCATATTTATTTGGTGCAGTTTGGTAAGGAAATATGTTTTTTATATTAAAAGGTGATTCTGTTTCCCACATTTCTGTGGGAGACATTTCTTCAATGACTAATAGAATATAAAATATGTTATGCAGCACTGTACTGTAGTAATGCTTGCTTACTGTAGTACAGTATAGTGGAACCTCAAATTTTGAACTTAATCCATTCCAGGAGCTAGTTCTAAATTCAAAAAGTTTGAAAGGCGAAGCAATATTTCCCACAAGAAATAATGGAAACAATTAATCTGTTCCAGAAACCCAAAAATATTAAAAAAAAAAAAAAATATAGATAGTATTACATTATAGTTTTATGTACACACAACAATTTTTTTTTTCAACAAACCAGCCGTATCCCACCAAGGCAGGGTGGCCCAAAAAGAAAAGCGAAAGTTTCTCTTTTTAAATTTAGTAATTTATACAGGAGAAGGGGTTACTAGGCCCTTGCTCCTGGCATTTTAGTCACCTCTTACAACACGCATGGCTTACGGAGGAAGAATTCTGTTCCACTTCCCCATGGAGATAAGAGGAAATAAACAAGAACAAGAACTAGAAAGAAAATAGAAGAAACCCCAGAGGGGTGTGTATATATATGCTTGTACATGTATGTGTAGTATGACCTAAGTGTAAGTAGAAGAAGCAAGACATACCTGAAATCTTGCATGTTTAAGAGACAAAAAAGACACCAGCAATCCTACCATCATGTAAAACAATTACAGGATTCTGTTTTCCACTCACTTGGCAGGACGGTAGTGCCTCCCTGGGCGGTTGCTGTCTACCAACCTAATACCTACACACAACAAATATAGTGTAAAATTATTAATAAATTTAAATAAACATATAAAATAACATTTTTGCTTACCTTTATTGAAGATTGGTGATGGCATCTGGAAGATAGGGAGGAGGAGAGGAGTTGGGGTTAGTGTTTGGAAGGGGAATCCCCCTCCATAAGGACTTTAGGTATCAAAGCCCTCTCTGGGGTTACTTCCCTTCTCTGTATTTTAATGCCACTACGACCAGCTTGAGAGTCACTGGACCCCTGTCTCACAAAATAACTTGATCCACACCAGCAACAACTTCTCAACCTGATCAATTGTCTGTGGTCTTTTTTTGGTTAGCATATTAACACCTTTTGCAACATCAGCTTCCTTGATTTGTTCTTTCTTTGCCAAGATAGAAGCGATGGTCAATTTGTTTTTCCCATGCATCCTGGCAAGCTCAACAAGTCTCACACCACTCTCATAATTCTGTATTATTTCCTTCACATCTATGGTGTTTCTCACTTTCTTTACCACAGGGGTACCACTAGCAAGTTTCTTTGGGCCCATGGTAGCTTATTTCACAGTCCCACAAGCACTAAACACAACGAATTAATCGTAAATTGTTTGAATGAGACCGCAGGTAAGTGTTCACTCAAGCATCAACAAAGCCAGACTGACTCATGGCACCTACGCAGGGATGTGGACAGAGTGGGCTGGCGAACAGGTCTGGTACCTGGCAGTTCGAAAATAGGGGCGAGTTCGATAGTAGGGACAAAGTTGGTTTGAAAAAAGCGGTCGATTTTCGAAGAGTTCGATAAGCAATTTGAGGTTTCACCGAATAAAAAAAAATTGATAAAATTTGTAGTTGCCTAGAATGTAACCATATTTTTCTCATATGTTTTTACTTTAATGATATTTTTCACAACTATTTTCAGAAATATAACCTACGTGTTATGAGATTGTATACTGTATCTTTTTATTATGGATTTCATTAGACATCTTTAAGGATAATGCTTCTAGATGAAGATTTTACATTGTTCTTCTTTTCAGGTGTATATCTTTGTACAACAAATGGGGCATCTATGTGCCTGTGTACCAGGGCGTTGTAACGCTCTTTGTGGTGCTCAATTTTTCTTTAGCAACTTTCATGGATCCTGGAGTTATACCAAAAGGTGAGAGCCAAGTTTTTAATAGTTACTTGCTTCTTAGACAGATTTTCATTAATTTATAGGCAGATTCATTTTGGACATGGGCCTCCTTAATGAATGTACTGTGCTACTTGGTTAAGTAGCAGTTGGAAGAAAAAAAAAGTAATATTCCTTATTAGTGAATCTCCAGTTGAGTGGATGATTTTGGAAGGTTGAATGATAATAGTAGGGTGAAACAGTCTAACCAAAGTTATTTAATAGGGGCTCCTCAAGTTATCTAATTCTGTATATTTACTACACTATATTATTGACCACTAAATATAGAGCTAAAGTTTTTATTGACAAAGGGCAAGAGCTACTGATCAAAGTTGTGTAAGTTCACATTAAGGCAAGCCTTTATTTTAAACATTGCTTGGCTCTGAATGAGTTTCATCAAGTTTATTAAAAGATGCAACATCTTACAAGAACATGTAGTCAAACTCAGCTCTTTTTGACTCTACAATCTGGGAACTGTTGTGTATGGAGTGTTTAACATTAGGCCACTGATTCTTGATGGGGTATCAGTTGCTACGCTGGCTATTGTCTAGGAGAGAACTTCAATAGCAACAACGTTTTAGTGCTGCAAATATAGCCTTCTTAACCAAAGACTTTCTTTAATAACCTTCTTTCTTTCTGTAGGATGACCAAAACTCGCAAGTAAAATCCGTGCCTTTAATAACAATAAAATTTAGATAGGATATTCATATCTCTATGAACCGTAATCTTTATATAGAGCAATAAAATTACTTATCTTTTTCTTTACACATAGAGGGTGCAATTATACATACACAGCTATTGTTACGACACAAGGGTTTGCTGGGAAGACATAATTCCCAGTAGTAGTGTTAGGCAATCACTGTGACATGAAGTAAATGATACGTACTTGCTAACATAACCCTTATCAATGTCTTCACCGAGACATTAAATTCAATTTATCCAGACAGGAAGTTTTATCGATAATCCCATGCAAGAGATCTGTATATGAATAGAGAACTCCTGAAATCAGAGATCAGACTAGGTGTGAGAGTACAATGCAGAGTACTACTCGGGAGTGAGTGTGTGAACCTACTGACTGTACCAGTGAGCGGTAAGCTGATGTCAGGTTGGTTCATGACTTTAAGGGAGACAGTAACTAGTAACTGGCACTCTAACTAGTGGTTTCCCACTACATGAAAATCACATACTTAATATAACACCAAATAAAGCAATATACGTACAGTGGAACCTTGGCTTACTAATGCCCCACCGTGCGAATTTTTCAGGATATGAACAGTCACTTGATCAATTTTTTGCTTCTGGATACAAACAAAATTTCAGGATGCAAACTTCCTCCTCAAGTGAGGTTCCTTGGTGAGGGGCTCTTGATCAAGGGAATTGGACCTGTGCTCCACTTCCCTAAATTAATAATACGTATAATAATAATATAATAATAATAGTTATTATTGTTATTGTTACATACATACTACTAATAATAATACACTGCAGCATGCCTGTTGGCCCATACTAGGCAGGTGTCATGTGGGTTCGATTACGTGGATGGGGTAAAAATACAGTGGACCCCCGGTTAACGAACTTTTTTCATTCCAGTAGTATGTTCAGGTGCCAGTACTGACCGAATTTTTTCCTATAAGGAATATTGTGAAGTAGATTAGTCCATTTCAGACCCCCAAACATACACGTACAAACGCACTTACATAAATACACTTACATAATTGGTCGCATTCGGAGGTGATCGTTATGCGGGGGTCCACTGTACTCACGTAGGCTGGTAGTACGTATAATGTATAACGGGAAGTATGGGAAGCGCCAACAGCCGACCTGCCTCTCTCTGCTCCCTATCTTAGACTGACTCACCAGTGCCTACGGGTGAGCGGTCTTTGAAAACCTGCTGTGGTCAGGAGACAGGCTGGATGGTAGGCTGAGGCAGGCTGACTAGCGTTCACTTCCACAGTCTGGCTTATTGACTGGCTTAATTGCAAATCCGGGTCAACCCCTCGGAGATTGAAGCAATTAGCACACGAACTAAACCAGGAAGCTTGAAAAGCAGCTGCAACAGGCATGCAGGCTGGAGTACACAGGGTGGAGGTGAGTGAGGGTAACTGCTAGCTGGAGGTGGCAGACGGTTCACCTCTGACCTGCCGGCACCCCACAACCAATCTTGTAACGTCTGAAATACCCTTAAATCCACGCCCACACCGGTGCCACCAATTTGTCATGTGGGTTCGATTACGTGGATGGGGTAAAAATACTCACGTAGGCTGGTAGTACGTATAATATATAACGAGAAGTATGGGAAGCGCCAACAGCCGACCTGCCTCTCTCTGCTCCCTATCTTAGACTGACCCACCAGTGCCTACGGGTGAGCGGTCTTTGAAAACCTGCTATGGTCAGCAGCAATGTGAATAACAGTCAGTGATTCACACAGACGGTTGGTAGTGAGTCATCTACTGGTACACTGGTTACTGGTAACTGGTTACTAGGAACTGGTACTACTACTGAGACAGGTCCTTCACAGTCCATCCCACTAACAGAGTATTTGCCCAACTCAATTTTCAATGCTACCCAAGCAATAAGCTTTGATAATTCTATTTACTCATGTGCAGGTCACACTCACGTCCAGCCCTTCTCACTCGTTGATAAATTAGACACATGTGCAACTCTTTATTGAGGAAATGTTTTGCCACGCAGTAGCTTCATCAGTCCATACAAAGGAGAATGGTGAAGAACAGGATGAGTTTGAGGTAATCAGTCCCTCAGCCTTGAGTCGATGTGGTCAGTGCATCAATCTTGAAAAGAATACAGCATATCTGCGGAGAAGTAGCTTATATACCGTAGGCAGGAGAGGTGCAGCAGTCGTAGGTGGTGTCACATTTGACCAATGTGGAAGTAGGTCATGCCCAAGGGTTAGGCAAGTGAAGAATTCCCAAGTATGACACACCACCTACGACTGCTGCACCTCTCCTGCCTACGGTATATAAGCTCTTCTCCGCAGATATGCTGTATTTCTTCTCGCGATTGATGTACTGACCACATCAACTCAAGGCTGAGGGACTGATTACCTCAAATTCCTCCTGTTCTTCACCATTCTCCTTTGTGGAAAATTGAGACACTTGTTGAGACACATTCTCCTTTGTATGGATTGATGAAGCCGCTGTGTGGCGAAATGTTTCCTCAATAAAGATACCCAAGAGTTGCACATGTGTCTAATTTATCAATGTGTCGGTTCTCTGAACCATTCATCTACTTCTCATTCATGTATTTATCCAACACAAATTTGAAACTACCCAAGGTGTTAGCCTCAGTAGCCATACTAAGCAGATTGTTCCACTCGTCAACATAAGAAAGGGGAAACACTGCAGCAGGTCTGTTGGGCCATACTTGGCAGGTCCTAAACAAATCCAGCCCACTAACAGAATAAACACTACCCAAGCAATAAGCTTTAATAATCCTGTGATAAATGGTTTAATAATCCTTTTTAATCACATGCAAGTCCCACTCGTGTATTTATCCAACCTAAATTTGAAACTACCCAAGGTTTTAGCTTCGATAGAACCTTGGGTAGCTTTAAAAAGAGATTGGACAAATATTTGAGTGGGAGGGGATGGGTATGATTGGTGTCGTGGGTACATAATAACATTAAAAAAGAGGAACACTGCAGTAGGTCTCTTGGCCCATACTAGGCAGGTCCTTCACAGATCCAACCCACTAACAGAGTAAACGTACCCAAGCAATAAGCGTTGACAATTCTATTTACTCATCTCGACTGTGTGCTAATAGAGGTACAGGAAGCTGACATCGAAGAAATGCTGAACACTGACAATGATGCACCTGTTGTGCATTCTTTGAGTGATGGTGAAATTAGATGAATTGTGATATATAAATAAGTCATAGAGTTGATATTAGCATCTTATTGAAGTATTTTGTTGTGCCTCCTAAGAGCAGGAATTCCGCTGGAACGGATTAATGCTGTTTCAATTAATTTAAATGAGGAAAATTGACTCGGCTTATGAACAAATCGGGATACTAACGAGGTCATGGAACGGATTAAATTTGTAAGCCGAGGTTCCACTGTAATACAATGCAATATTAGCATTAACTTGTATATAATAAAATGTTGGGCAAGGGAATAATTCACAACAGAACACATAATATAATTTTTTTTTTTTTAACAAGCCGGCCGTCTCCCACCGAGGCAGGGTGACCCAAAAAGAAAGAAAATCCCCAAAGAAAATACTTTCATCATCATTCAACACTCACCTCACTCACACATAATCACTGTTTTTGCAGAGGTGCTCAGAACACAACAGTTTAGAAGCATATACGTATAAAGATAATAATACGCAACATATCCCTCCAAACTGCTAATATCCTGAACCCCTCCTTTAGAGTGCAGGCACTGTACTTCCCATTTCCAGGACTCAAGTCCGGCTATATAAAAATAACCGGTTTCCCTGAATCCCTTCACTAAATATTACCCTGCTCACACTCCAACAGATCATCAGGTCCCAAATACCGTTCGTCTCCATTCACTCCTATTGAACACGCTCATGCACGCCTGCTGGAAGTCCAAGCCCCTCGCCCACAAAACCTTCCTTATCCCTTCCTTCCAACCTTTTTGAGAATGACCCCTACCCCGCCTTTCTTCCCCTACAGATTTATACGCTCTCCATGTCATTCTACTTTGATCCATTCTCTCTAAATGACCAAACCACCTGAACAACCCCTCTTCAGCCCTCAGACTAATACTTTTATTAACTCCACACCTTCTCCTAATTTCCACACTCCGAATTTTCTGCATAATATTTACACCACACATTGCCCATAGACAGGACATCTCCACTGCCTCCAACCGCCTCCTCGCTGCTGCATTCACAACCCAAGCTTCACACCCATATAAGAGTGTTGGTACTACTATACTTTCATACATTCCCTTCTTTGCCTCCATAGATAACGTTTTTTGTCTCCACATACACCTTAACGCACCACTCGCCTTTTTTACCTCATCAATTCTATGATTAACCTCATCCTTCATAAATCCATCCACCAACACGTCAACTCCCAAGTATCTGAAAACATTCACTTCTTCCATACTCCTCCCCAATTTGATATCCAATTTTTCTTTATCTAAATCATTTGATACCCTCATCACCTTACTCTTTTCTATGTTCACTTTCAACTTTCTACCTTTACACACACTCCCAAATTCGTCCACTAACCTTTGCAATTTTTCTTTAGAATCTCCCATAATCACAGTATCATCAGCAAAAAGTAACTGTCAATTCCCATTTTGTATTTAATTCCCCATAATTTAATCCCACCCCTCTCCCGAACACCCTAGCATTTACTTCTTTTACAACCCCATCTTTCTTTCTTTCAACACACCAGCTGTATCCCACCGAGGCGGGGTGGCCCAAAAGAAAAACGGAAGTTTCTCCTTTCAAATTTAGTAATATATACAGGAGAAGAGGTTACTAGCCCCTTGCTCCCGGCATTTTAGTCGCCTCTTACAACATGCATGGCTTAAGGAGGAAGAATTCTGTTCCACTTCCCCATGGAGATATGAGGAAATAAACAAGAATAAGAACTAGAAAGAAAATAGAAGAAAACCCAGAGGGGTGTGTATATATGTGCTTGTACATGTATGTGTAGTGTGACCTAAGTGTAAGTAGAAGTAGCAAGACATACCTGAAATCTTGCATGTTCATGAGACAGAAAAAAGGACACCAGCAATCCTACCATCATGTAAAACAATTACAGGCTTTCGTTTTACACTCACTTGGCAGGACAGTAGTACCTCCCTGGGCGGTTGCTGTCTACCAACCTACTACCTATGCCAACCCCATCTATAAATATATTAAACAACCATAGTGACAAAATTATGGCTGTATAATAAATTTTCTTTGCCTACTCCTGCTTTTAACCAGCCATCCTGTTTGATATTATGAATTGTGAATATCATTTTAAATTCAAGCAGATGTTTGGTAATATGTTGAAAGCATGGAGTTGGAGTTTTTTGGTAAGGAAAGAAATTTTCTTAGTTTTCTGGTTGTTCTGTGCTTCTCTGTACAGACAGTAGCTGAACTTGCTCTGGAGTCAACATAATTGACAGGCCTTTCATTTAACTTATTTACTTAGCATCTGTGAAGCAAATAGAAGGGTTTAGGTAATTTTTTTTTATCAGTGTGTCAACTAACCCTTGTGTCACACTGTGTTTAATGTAAAAACAAGTCCAGCAATATAGAATACGTACATTTAAATTATATTAATGTAACTAATGTTTTCTTTTATATTTTTAGCCTCAACAGACGAAGACCGGGATGATGATTTTAGAGCTCCACTATATAAGAATGTTGAAATAAATGGCATCACCGTCCGTATGAAGTGGTGTGTAACATGTCATTTTTATCGGCCCCCTCGTTGCTCACACTGTTCCGTATGCAACCACTGTATTGAGGTAAGTCATGATTTACTGTAATATTATATGTAGGCAGGTACCTAGGGATTGACAGAGAGCATGCATAGGTCCTTAGTATAACAGCAAAGAGGACAAAAGAGAGTGTGAAAATTATTGAGGCATGCACTTGTTGAGTATACCTGGTACAGTGTATAGTACTGTAGTTATTATTGAAATAATTAAGAGTAAGATGGAGAGCAGGCTCACAGATGAGCAAGGAGGCTTTAGGAAGGGTAGGGGGTGTGTAGACCAAGTGTTTACAGCGAAGCATATAGGTGAACAATATTTAGATAAGTGTAAAGAGGTTTTCGTTGCATTTATGGATTTGGAATAGGTGTATGATAGGGTGGATAGGAGAGCAATGTGACAGATGTTGCAAATGTATGGAATAAGTTGTAAGCTACCGAAAACATTTAAGAGTTTTTATGAGGACAGTGAGGCTCAGGTTAGAGTATGTAGGAGAGAGAGGGAGATTATTTCCAAGTAAAGGTAGGCCTTAGACAGGGATGTGATGTCACCATGGTTGTTCAATGTATTTATAGACGGGTTGTAAGAGAAGTGAATGCTTGGGTGTTGGCAAAAGGTTTGGGGTTAAAAGATAAAGAATCTAACACAAAGTGGGAGTTGTCCCAGTTGCTCTTTGCTGATGACACTGCCTTTGGGAGATTTTGAAGAGAAGTTGCAGAGGTTGGTGAATGAGTTTGGAAAGGTAGGTAAAAGAAGGAAATTAAGAGTGAACTTAGGAAAGAGCAAGGTGATGAGGATAAAAAATTTAGGTAATAAAAGATTGGATATCAAATTGGCGAGAGAGAGTATGGAGGAAGTGAATGTATTCAGATATTTATGAGTGGACTTGTCAGCAGATGGGTCTATGAAAGATGAGGTGAATCATAGAATTGATGAGGGAGAAAGGTGAGTGGAGCACTGAGGAGTCAGAACATTATCCATGGAAACAAAAAGGAAAATGTATGAGAGAATAGTGGTACCAATACTCTTATATGGGTGTGAAGCATGGTTGGTGAATGTTGCAACAAGAAGGTTGGAGGCAGTGAAGATGTCATGTCTACAGGCAATGTGTGGTTTGAATATAATGCAGAGAGTCCATAGTTTGGAGTTTAGGAGGTGTGGAGTTTCTAAAAGTATTATAAAGAGGGCAGAGAAGGGGTTGTTTGGACATTTAGAGAGGATGGAACAAAATAGAATGACTTGGAGGGCATATAAATCTGTTGTGGAAGGAAGATGGAGTAGTGGTGATCTTAGGAAAGGTTGGAGAGTGGGGGTAAAGGAGGTTTTGTGTGTGAGGGGCTTCGACATCCAGCAAGCATGTGTGAATGTGTTAAATAGGAACAAGTGGAGATGAATGTTTTTTATGACTTGATGTGCTGTTGGAGTGTGAGGAATGTAACATTAATGATGGGATTCAAGGAAACCGGTTAGCTGGACTTGAGTCCTGGATGTGGAAAGTACACCTAGTGTAAGCATGCCTCTGGCAAGATAGTGATGGAGTGAATGATGATGAAAGTGTTTCTTCTTTTTTGGGTCACTCTGCCTTGGTGGAAAATGGCCAGTGTGTTAATAAAAAAAAAATGAAGGACAGTTAAATACTGGGCTCAAATAGTCCCTTGGTCTTTTTATATTTTTTATCTTGATGGCCATCTCCCACCAAGGCAGGGTGACCAAAACAAAAAAAACACATTCACTATCACTCATTCAGTCACTGTCGTGCCAGACAGTGATTGATTTACATAATTTCCTCCCCCCTCCCATCCCCCAAATCCTCTATAAGAGTACAGGCATCACCCTTCCCACCTCCAGGACTCGATTCTAGCTACACAATTACCCTGAATCCTTTTACAAGCATTACCTTGCTCACACTCCAATAGTATGTTAGCATTAAAAACTGGAAAATCTCGTGTTTTTTCTTTCTAAACAAACCATTAACAAGTGAGATGTTCGTATTAGGTTAGAGGATAGGCGCTCTCGGTTGGTTACACCATCACAAAGAGGGCTTGTTGAGGGTTAGTTGCGTTGCCATCGTAAGTTAATAAACTGTAAATACCTAGTAAGTTTAGTGTCTAGCTTAAGATTAAGCTAGACTAGGAATATAGGCACAAGTAGCATGATGAACAGCCATTGTCTCACCCTTGTGGGCCCCCAATATGACAGTATAGTGCCAGGCTTAGGGTTTGAATTCTGGGCACCTGGCAGTCACCTTTGGGAACAGGTGCTGGACAGACCCATACCATTACGTGAAATAAAAGGGCACAATAACTAGAAATTAATTATTCACAAGTTATCAATGGCTTAAGTAATCAGGTGTGGTAGAAATCCTTTGGGAGGCACTGGAGTAAAGAACCTACATTTATAGGTAGGTACCTTAGACAACCCATACACATTGGTAAGTGTTTGCCAGTGTGTATTTTTCCCCACAGCCCTGTCATGGAATGGCTGGCATTTAACCTTTTCATTGTCCAGACCCCTGATCTGAAACTTGTCCACAGCATCCAAGAATTAAAAAAATTTTTTTTTGTTATTTTTTCTTATGAAATGGTAGAGAATCTTTTTCTGAAGGTAATACAACAGAAACTATGAAAATTTGTTTGAAAATTGATGAATTTACACTTTTGCTGTGTCAGCAATATTTACACATTGGCAATTTTGCCCACTGAGTACTATTTTAGGCCAATTACATTGTTACAGTAGACCAAATCCTTAGCTGTTTTGCTAGTATGTCTTTCATTTTATTGATTGAGCATAAGAAACTGCCCAATCAACTATTTCAACTACCCAATAAAGTGATCAGAAATTGGTAATTTGGTCAGTTTTACACAAATTTCAAAATATTCCAATATCAAAATAGTCCAGAATAAACAATGCAGGCATTCTTGGCACTAAAATAACATTTCCTCTGTTCATTAGTTATGTTCCCAGGCTTTACATATGAATTCCATTTTAATTTTTTATTCACACAAAGAATTTTTACTTACACAAAAAATAAAAGCTTTACTATTATGCAATATTGTAATAATTGTATAAATAATATCAGCGCATTCATGAAGGCATATTAGACCCACCAGTTGGACGTGTATTGAATATCTGGAAAAATTGAACATTTCTGCTACTTTGAGCTCAATTTCAAGCAATTTTCAGTCCTGAAATGAATCAGAATCATCTCTATTTCTGTAATACATCTTCCATTCTATCAGATGAAACCAAGGATACAAATATAAAAATCATACAAAAATACATCACAGAGTCACTGTTTTAAACCAAAAACAGTCTTAGTTTTTTCTCGTGCAGTGCATGCTGCAGGATTTTATTATATGGTGCACACTTATTGCATAGACCCATTCTTTCATATTATTTTTTATTATTATTATCACACTGGCCGATTCCCACCAAGGCAGGGTGGCCCGAAAAAGAAAAACTTTCACCATCATTCACTCCCCCCCTTCCAATAGTTGCTTATAACTCTCCATAACTTCCTCCTCCCTTAGTTTATCCACTTTCACCTCTCTTAATTGTTGTTGCCATTTTCCTTTTGTCCCATCTACCTTTTATTCTTGCTACAACTAAATAATGATCCAATATATTAGTTGCCCCTCAATAAACATGTACATCCTGAAACCTACCCATCAACCTTTTATCCACCAATACATAATCTAACAGACTACTTTCATTACGTGCTATATCATACCTTGTATACTTATTTATCCTCTTTTTCATAAAATATGTATTACTTATTACCAAGCCTCTTTCTACACATAGCTCAATTAAAAGCTCCCCATTTTCATTTACCCCTGGTACCCCAAATTTACCTACTACTCCCTCCGCAACATTTTTACCCACTTTAGCATTGAAATCCCCAACCACAAGTACTCTTACACTTGGTTCAAAACTCCCCACGCGCTCACTCAACGTTTCCCATAATCTCTCTCTTGTCTACACTTCTATTTTCTCTAGGTGCATACATGCTTATTATAACCCACTTTTCATATCCAACCCTTATTTTACTCACAAAATCCTTGAATTAATACATTTATATTCCCTCTTTTCCTGCCATAACTTATCCTTCAACATTATTGCTACTCCTGTAGCTCTAACACTCTTTGAAACCCCTGACCTAATCCCATTTCTTTCTTCCCTCTGAAACTCTCCCACCCCCTTCAGCTTTGTTTCACTTAAAGCCAGGACATCCAGCTTCTTCTCATTCATAACATCCACAATCATCTCTATCTTATCATTCGCACAACATCCATGCACTTTCAGATGTCCCACTTTGATGGTTTTCTTCTTTTTCTTTTTAGTAGGCTATACGGGAAAAAGGGTTACTAGCCCATTGTTCCCAGCATTTTAGTTGACTTTTACAACACGCATGGCTTACGGAGGAAAGGTTCTTATTCCACTTCCCCATGGATATAAAAGGAAAAGCAATAGGAACAAGAACTATTAAGATAAAATCAAAGAAAACTCAGATGAGTGTGTGTACATAACCGTGTACATGTATGTGTAGTGTGACCTAAGTGTAAGTAGAAGTAGCAAGACGTACCTGAAATCTTGCATGTTTATGAGACAAAAAAACACCAGCAATTCTACCATCATGTAAAACAATTACAGGCTTTCGTTTTACACTCGCTTGGCAGGATGGTAGCACCTCCCTGGGTGGTTGCTGTCTACCAACCTACTACTGTTATTCATACGTGTATATGTAAATATATTGTTAGCTGTCCTTGAGTATCAGAGATGGGAAGTACTATATGATGCTTATATTTTGATGGATGGGTGGAGATGCTGTAGTTTGGAGAGTCATTTTAATTGTGATGTCTGCACAATACTGGCAAGATAGCCATTGAATGTGTAATGATGAATATTCTGGATTTCTCTCTCTGGGTCACTATGTACATATGCAGTATATTCTATGAAGCATCCTGTATTCTTTTCATTCTAAATAATGCCTGCTATGTTCAGTGGAGTAGTATTTTGTCTTACCAATGGTGTTTTGTATTTTTTATTCTTTCTTAGCCTGATTGTTCACATAAAAGGGCATAGCATCATGGACACAGGTCTTATTTTTTTTTTTTTAACAAGTCGGCCGTCTCCCACCGAGGCAGGGTGACCCAAAAAAGAAAGAAAATCCCCAAAAAGAAAATACTTTCATCATCATTCAACACTTTCACCTCATTCACACATAATCACTGTTTTTGCAGAGATGCTCAGAACACAACATACATTGTTGAAAGTTTACATAACTAATATTTGATATTTGAAACTGAGATGATCAGTAACTAAATTATTTGCCTTAGTTAATTTTCTTCATCCCTAATGTGAATTTAAATGCAGAAAACAATTTGTAGCATTCATTCTTTAGCTAATATTCGTGTTCTAATATGTCTATTTACTTGCAGACGTTTGACCATCATTGCCCATGGGTCAACAATTGCATAGGGCGACGGAACTATCGCTATTTCTTCATGTTCCTGTGTTCCCTCAGCATTCATATGATATCCATCTTCACATTTTGCCTCATCCATGTACTTGATAGAAAAGAATTTCTCACAGAGACCAATACAATTGTGAGGCAAGTAATTGCTATCAGTAAGGACAAGATATTTTTTTAAATTGTGTACTGTAGCTTGTTTTAATGAATTATCAGACCAAATTTGATTGCTTATTTTTCCAGTGTATACCAAATGATGCAGTAAATACCAGGATGTGTGTTTAGGTTTTTTTTTTTTCAGCTTGAGTTGTACTAATCTTGAACTGGGTGATTGATCTCAAGTTAATACCCTGTGTGTTTATATTGTATAATCCCCTCAAGGAAGGTTCCTAGGTGTTAGTGAGGGGCTCTTGATCTAGGGAGATGAATCTATACTCCAGTTACCTGAATTTATCTTGAATGCCTCCCCCCCCCCCATAGGTGCTGTATGATCCCTATGGGTTTAGTTTTCCCCATGATAATAATAATTTTTTATTTTTTATTATCACACTGGCCAATTCCCACCAAGGCAGGGTGACCCAAAAAAGAAAAACTTTCACCATCATTCACTCCATCACTGTCTTGCCAGAAGGGTGCTTTACACTACAGTTTTTAAACTGCAACATTAACACCCCTCCTTCAGAGTGCAGGCACTGTACTTCCCATCTCCAGGACTCAAGTCCGGTCTGCCGGTTTCCCTGAACCCCTTCATAAATGTTACTTTGCTCACACTCCAACAGCACGTCAAGTATTAAAAACCATTTGTCTCCATTCACTCCTATCAAACACGCTCACGCATGCCTGCTGGAAGTCCAAGCCCCTCGCACACAAAACCTCCTTTACCCCCTCTCTCCAACCTTTCCTAGGCCGACCCCTACCCCGCCTTCCTTCCACTACAGACTGATACACTCTTGAAGTCATTCTGTTTCGCTCCATTCTCTCTACATGTCCGAACCACCTCAACAACCCTTCCTCAGCCCTCTGGACAACAGTTTTGGTAATCCCGCACCTCCTCCTAACTTCCAAACTACGAATTCTCTGCATTATATTCACACCACACATTGCCCTCAGACATGACATCTCCACTGCATCCAGCCTTCTCCTCACTGCAACATTCATCACCCATGCTTCACACCCATATAAGAGCATTGGTAAAACTATACTCTCATACATTCCCCTCTTTGCCTCCAAGGACAAAGTTCTTTGTCTCCACAGACTCCTAAGTGCACCACTCAATCTTTTCCCTTCATCAATTCTATGATTCACCTCATCTTTCATAGACCCATCCGCTGACACGTCCACTCCCAAATATCTGAATACATTCACCTCCTCCATACTCTCTCCCTCCAATCTGATATTCAATCTTTCATCACCTAATCTTTTTGTTATCCTCATAACCTTACTCTTTCCTGTATTCACCTTTAATTTTCTTCTTTTGCACACCCTACCAAATTCATCCACCAATCTGTGCAACTTCTCTTCAGAATCTCCCAAGAGCACAGTGTCATCAGCAAAGAGCAGCTGTGACAACTCCCACTTTGTGTGTGATTCTTTATCTTTTAACTCCACGCCTCTTGCCAAGACCCTCGCACTTACTTCTCTTACAACCCCATCTATAAATATATTAAACAACCACGGTGACATCACACATCCTTGTCTAAGGCCTACTTTTATTGGGAAAAAATTTCCCTCTTTCCTACATACTCTAACTTGAGCCTCACTATCCTCGTAAAAACTCTTCACGGCTTTCAGTAACCTACCTCCTACACCATACACTTGCAACATCTGCCACATTGCCCCCCTATCCACCCTGTCATACGCCTTTTCCAAATCCATAAATGCCATAAAGACTTCTTTAGCCTTATCTAAATACTGTTCACTTATATGTTTCACTGTAAACACCTGGTCCACACACCCCCTACCTTTCCTAAAGCCTCCTTGTTCATCTGCTATCCTATTCTCCGTCTTACTCTTAATTCTTTCAATAATAACTCTACCATACACTTTACCAGGTATACTCAGCAGACTTATCCCCCTATAATTTTTGCACTCTCTTTTATCCCCTTTGCCTTTGTACAAAGGAACTATGCATGCTCTCTGCCAATCCCTAGGTACCTTACCCTCTTCCATACATTTATTAAATAATTGCACCAACCACTCCAAAACTATATCCCCACCTGCTTTTAACATTTCTATCTTTATCCCATCAATCCCGGCTGCCTTACCCCCTTTCATTTTACCTACTGCCTCACGAACTTCCCCCACACTCACAACTGGCTCTTCCTCACTTCTACAAGATGTTATTCCTCCTTGTCCTATACACGAAATCACAGCTTCCCTATCTTCATCAACATTTAACAATTCCTCAAAATATTCCCTCCATCTTCCAATACCTCTAACTCTCCATTTAATAACTCTCCTCTCCTATTTTTAACTGACAAATCCATTTGTTCTCTAGGCTTTCTTAACTTGTTAATCTCACTCCAAAACTTTTCTTATTTTCAACAAAATTTGTTGATAACATCTCACCCACTCTCTCATTTGCTCTCTTTTTACATTGCTTCACCACTCTCTTAACCTCTCTCTTTTTCTCCATATACTCTTCCCTCCTTGCATCACTTCTACTTTGTAAAAACTTCTCATATGCTAACTTTTTCTCCCTTACTACTCTCTTTACATCATCATTCCACCAATCGCTCCTCTTCCCTCCCGCACCCACTTTCTTGTAACCACAAACTTCTGCTGAACACTCTAACACTACATTTTTAAACCTACCCCATACCTCTTCGACCCCATTGCCTATGCTCTCATTAGCACATCTATCCTCCAATAGCTGTTTATATCTTACCCTAACTCCCTCCTCTTTTAGTTTATAAACCTTCACCTCTCTCTTCCCTGATACTTCTATTCTCCTTGTATCCCATCTACCTTTTACTCTCAGTGTAGTTACAACTAGAAAGTGATCTGATATATCTGTGGCCCCTCTATAAACATGTACATCCTGAAGTCTACTCAACAGTCTTTTATCTACCAATACATAATCCAACAAACTACTGTCATTTCGCCCTACATCATATCTTGTATACTTATTTATCCTCTTTTTCTTAAAATATGTATTACCTATAACTAAACCCCTTTCTATACAAAGTTCAATCAAAGGGCTCCCATTATCATTTACACCTGGCACCCCAAACTTACCTACCACACCCTCTCTTAAAGTTTCTCCTACTTTAGCATTCAGGTCCCCTACCACAATTACTCTCTCACTTGGTTCAAAGGCTCCTATACATTCACTTAACATCTCCCAAAATCTCTCTCTCTCTCCTCTGCATTCCTCTCTTCTCCAGGTGCATACACGCTTATTATGACCCACTTCTCGCATCCAACCTTTACTTTAATCCACATAATTCTTGAATTTACACATTCATATTCTATTTTCTCCTTCCATAACTGATCATTCAACATTACTGCTACCCCTTCCTTTGCTCTAACTCTCTTAGATACTCCAGATTTAATCCCATTTATTTCCCCCCACTGAAACTCCCCTACCCCCTTCAGCTTTGTTTCGCTTAGGGCCAGGACATCCAACTTCTTTTCATTCATAACATCAGCAATCATCTGTTTCTTGTCATCCGCACTACATCCACGCACATTTAAGCATCCCAGTTTTATAAAGTTTTTCTTCTTCTCTTTTTTAGTAAATGTCTACAGGAGAAGGGGTTACTAGCCCATTGCTCCCGGCACTTTAGTCGCCTCATACGACACGCATGGCTTACGGAGGAAAGATTCTTTTCCACTTCCCCATGGACAATAGAAGAAATAAAGAAGAACAAGAGCTATTTAGAAAAAGGAGAAAAACCTAGATGTATGTATATATATATGCATGTGCGTGTCTGTGAAGTGTGACCTAAGTGTAAGTAGGAGTAGCAAGATATCCCTGTTATCTAGCATGTTTATGAGACAGAAAAAGAAAACAGCAATCCTACCATCATGCAAAACAGTTACAGGTTTCTGTTTCACAGTCATCTGGCAGGACGGTAGTACTTCCCTGGGTGGTTGCTGTCTACCAACCTACTACCTGATAATAATAATCATAATAATAATAATATAATAATAATGTATAGTGAGGATAGTGAGGCTCAAGTTAGAGTATGTAGGAAAGAGGGAAATTATTTCCCAGTAAAAATAGGCCTTAGACAAGGATGTGTGATGTCACCGTGGTTGTTTAATATATTTATAGATGGGGTTGTAAGAGAAGTAAATGCGAGGGTCTTGGCAAGAGAGGTGGAGTTAAAAGATAAAGAATCACACATAAAGTAGGAGTTGTCACAGTTGCTCTTTCCTGATGACACTGTGCTCTTGGGAGATTCTGAAGAGAAGTTACAGAGATTGGTGGATGAATTTGGTAGGGTGTGCAAAAGAAGAAAATTAAAAGTGAATACAGAAAAGAGTAAGGTTATGAGGATAACAAAAAGATTAGGTGATGAAAGATTGGATATCAGATTGGAGGGAGAGAGTATGGAGGAGGTGAATGTATTCAGATATTTGGGAGTGGACGTGTCAGCGGATGGGTCTATGAAAGATGAGGTGAATCATAGAATTGATGAGGGGAAAAGGGTGAGTGGTGCACTTAGGAGTCTGTGGAGACAAAGAACTTTGTCCTTGGAGGCAAAGAGGGGAATGTATGAGAGTATAGTTTTACCAATGCTCTTATATGGGTGTGAAGCATGGGTGATGAATGTTGCAGTGAGGAGAAGGCTGGAGGCAGTGGAGATGTCATGTCTGAGGGCAATGTGTGGTGTGAATATAATGCAGAGAATTCGTAGTTTGGAAGTTAGGAGGAGGTGCGGGATTACCAAAACTGTTGTCCAGAGGGCTGAGGAAGGGTTGTTGAGGTGGTTCGGACATGTAGAGAGAATGGAGCGAAACAGAGTGACTTCAAGAGTGTATCAGTCTGTAGTGGAAGGAAGGCGGGGTAGGGGTTGGCCTAGGAAAGGTTGGAGGGAGGGGGTAAAGGAAGTTTTGTGTGCGAGGGGCTTGGACTTCCAGCAGGCATGCGTGAGCGTGTTTGATAGGAGTGAATGGAAACAAATGGTCTTTAA